GTGATTTTCTTTTGGGGTCTATCCTATTAAGGGTTCATGGAGCTTCAGAAGTGCATATCATTTCAATCTTTATAATATTGTGGACATTTTCTTCCAGCAACTCTTTTAACAATTTTCATTGTGCTTTTGGGGACTTTTTTGTTGTTGTTGTTGTTCTTATTTGATTGTTTCTTCCAGTTACATGTAAGTTTATAAGTTACTCCTCTTGATGGTGAGCCACATAATTCTTAGGCTTTCTTCATTCTTTTTATGATAGTTCCTCGAACAAATATTAAGATTTGTCTTTACTCTCACTAATCCCATGTTTCATTTATTCAGTTCTGCTCCTTTGTTGTTCTAACATGTTATCTATTTCTGAGTTTTTTGTCTTAATCTTCTGAATTTCTATTTTCTAGTATTGACATGATTCCTAATTTTTAATTTATTTTGTCAGTTTGTTGTTTTGGTTTTTTATTCTTGAGGTCCTTGATTTTTTTTTCTGGTTTCTTCAAACTTTTTCTTTTATTCATTGGAAGTTCTTAAATATAATTTGTTTTAATTATCCTTGTTAGGAAGTTTCCGTAGCGTTTCTTCCTTGGAAAGATTTTTCTGGTCACCTGCTTGCACCATCTTCTCCTGGTTTAGAAGGTTTACTGGGCGGTGTGTGTGTGTGTGCGTGCTCCTACCCGGTATTGTTATGTTTCTTTTGTTTTTGTATTTCTGATGGAGTAGAGCTAGTTTGACAGGTCTTAGTCATTCCCCTTATCGTCTGATGAGTGTGGTGGAAGATATAGTATGGGTACAGCTTTCTTACTGCCATTGATACAGAACAGTTGAGGATATTCTGGGCTGGTGTTGTTTGCAGTCTGTCATTGATGAGGTGGTGCAGGCTCGGATTTGCTCTTGCCCAGAGGATGACGCTGTAGGAGGTCCATGCGTGTCTTAGCAGTATGGGTGGATAGAAAGAAGAAAATAGAAAACCAAGGAAGGATACAAAATGAGAAGGGAGAGTGGGCGGAAGAGGAAATAACATTTTTAAAGGGTAAGAAAAAGACAAGGGGAGGGAACTTGCTTAGAGTGACTGCCTCTGGGATGGAGTTTCTCCTGGACCAACAGAAAGTTTGGAGTGAGATGCTGAATCAAACTCAATTTCTGCTCATCTGAAATGTGGTTGATGTCACAGCACTGACTCAAAGACAAGAGTTATAGATGAAGGATGTGATGAATGGCCAGGGACAGTGCCTCTCCCAGCCTAGGGAGCATCTAGCATCAGGACATCTCACCTGGAATGGAGTTTCTGCTGGGTTTTCAGGTACCAAAAGCAATCCATCCAGTCAGGAATGTTGATTCTGCTAGATCTGTGTAAGCAGGGATGGTCCCTCTATCAGAGCTAGCAAGTGCACTCTGCCATCCCCACAAGGTAGGGAGTGTGTTGCTCCAATTGTGGACATGGCATGAACCTGATAACCCACAAGTCTGCCCTGCCTTGTTTTAGACAGCCTCTGCCAATCCTGGAGGTGATCAGGAGCAGAGTTTCTAGTCAGAGATCGTACTTCTGTTAGTCTAGGGACAGCTGCAGGCTGGACACTTGCCCAAAGATGGCACAACACCCTGACATGAGGAGGTAAAAAAATTGTGCCTACAAATGTGGGACAAGCATGCACTCATTGTCAGATCCACAGTGTGGACACCCACCTTGGGAGCACCAACTGGGTGCCCACCACCTGTTGGGTGGGCATGGGAGACAGGCACTACTCCAGTCACCAGGAGATTATGAAGTACAGGGGGGAAATGACACTTTTCCTGTCCTCAACCAGGCACTGGTGTGGGTGCCACTGCCATCCTGGGTTTCCCACTGAATCAGAAAGCACCTTGCAAAAGTTCAAAATGGCTATACAGTGTCAGATCCCATGGCAGTTCACACTTTGTCTCCTTTTTCAGTGTTTCATTTGGTTTCTTCTTTTAGTCAGTATATGAACTACTACTTTCTTGTTTCCTTTTAAGTTCAGGATTCCAGGATTATCATCCATATCATTATTTTTATTTTGTGATGTTTTGTGGTAGAGCATTGGGGCTCACATTTGCCTACCCCACCAACATGCCAGAACTCTGATACACCATTTTAAGTATTTAATTTTTTTTATTTTGTACTACTTTATTTACAAAGTTCATAAACATTGTTTTTCCCACTGGATCTTTCCCATTTCCTTTACCCAGCCCTCCCTGTTGTTGCTGTTGTTATGTGCCGTCAAGTCATTTACGACTCATAGTGACCCTATGTACTACAGCCCCAAACCCTTCTCTATCCTGTGCCAATCGCATTGCCTCTGACACTCCCATCCCGATTGCCCCAGTCACTGAATCAACCCACCTCAGAAAGGGTCTTTCCCTCCTGCGCTGTCCCTCCACTCTACCAAGCATGATGTCCCTCTCCAAAGTTAAAAAAAAAATGTCCAAAGTATGTCAGACGAAGCCCCAGAATCATTGCCTTCAAGGAGTAGCCTGGTTTAACCCACTCCAGAATGAATCTGTTTGTTTTCTTGGCAGTCGAGGGTACATTCAATACTCTTCTCCAGCATCACAGCTCAAAGGCATCAATTCTCCTTCTGTCCTCCTTGGTCATTGTCCAACTCTCTAATGCATAGCCTGTATCAGGTGCACCTTAGTCTCCAGAGAGACACTGTTGCTCTTGAGTACTTTAGAGAGGTCCCTAACAGCAGACTTTCCCATCACGATACGTTTTTTGATTTCCTGGCTGCTGGTGCCAAGAGTGTTGACCATGGAGCCGATCAAACTGAAGCTGTGAACAGTCTCAATCTCTTCGCCATCCATCCTTATGCTGCCAATTGATTCAGTGGTGAGAATCTTTGTCTTCTTGACATTGAGCCTCAGTCCATACTGCAGGCTGCAGTCCTTGACCCTCTGCAGCAAGTGCATGAGGTCCTCCTCAGTTTCGGCAAGCAGGGTTGTGGCATCTGCATAACACAGATTGTTAATAGATCTTCCACCAATCCTGATGCCACACTTATCCTCATAGAGGCCAGCCTCTCAGATAATCTGCTCTGCATACAGGTTGAAAAGGTATGGAGATAGGACACATCCCTGGCATACACCCTCCCCAATTTTGAACCATGCGGTGCTACCCTGCTCTGTTCTGACTACTACCTCTTGGTCCAAGTATAGGTTTTGCATCAGCATGATTAAATGTTCTGGGATTCCCATTCTTCTCAGAGTCAGCCACAGTTTGTTATGATCCACACAGTCAAATGTCTTTGCATAATCAATGAAACACAGATAGACTTTCTTCTGGTATTCCCTGCTTTCAGCTAAGATCCATCGAACATCAGCTACAATATCCCTAGTACAACTTAAGAGACACTGGACAAACCATAAAAAAATTTTCAGCAGTTGACATGTTCGGAATCACAGAAGCCAAGGAAGCTTCAGATACAAGTTGTCAGATCATGGGTCTGACAATGGAAGATAAATTCTGAAGGAATTTGGTAGAAGTGAATGGGTATCCTGGTGGATGATGGAGCTGGGAAATAAGTGGGTCAAGGCACTGGGCTAGGGGCAGGGACACTTCACAATGAGGGATTTATCTTTCACTGCTCCACATATTGCTTGTCTGTCGGATACACCTCTAAATCTAAACATTCAGATTAAGACAGACTAGGAAGAAGGATTGGCCATCCAGTTCTGAAATAGCAGGCCTCTGAAAACCCTATGTACAGCCCTCCCTATACACATCAAATTGTGCAACCCTACGATTACACCCCTGCCCAGCTTTACCTCTCTGCTTCTACACTCATATACATTTTACTAGTTATCTATTTATACAATAATGGTCTCGTACAGTATTTGTCCTAATGGGACTGAATTAGTTCACTTAGCATAATGCTCTCCAGATCCTGATACATCATTTTTAATAAGAGTCTGTTTTCTCTCCTTTTAAGCCCTTACTTTGGGAGAGTATAAAGGTTTGACAGAGCAAGAATTTATTACACATCTTATTGAATTCTTAAATGGTTTGTATGGAAACATCCCCATTTTAGAAAGGAAATTGAAAGAGATTATACAACAGCATGAAGGGCAAATGGAATGAAATGGGAATTCAATAAAAAACAAAAATTTAGCCTGGATTTTTTTTTTTAAGCCAGCATACTGAGTAATAGCAATATACTCAAGAAAGGTTTTTAAGAAGACTTGCTATTTAAGTATTTTTAAATTGCCATATTGAAATATCTTATGATTTATTGTTAAGAGCACACATTTAAGACTATGAGATTTACTTCTAGATTTCAATAGAATTTAAATAATAAACTTATAGCATTTTCATAGGAGGAAAAGGACTTGACATTCAGTAATTTACTATCCCTCTAGAGTCTAATGAAAAATGAAATTATTTGCTCAGGGTCAGTTAGTGACAGGGCCCTGTTCTATCAGCATGAGCCACACATTGGCGTGTTTAACATTACGCCCTCCCTAATTTAGTTTTCTTTGTATTTAATAATAGATTCTGTGTGCACCACAGGCATGTTATTAGATTTTCTTTAGAAGAGGGTATAAAATGTTCCACTATTCATGAATAGAATTTTTTTATTTGTATTTGAAATGTTTTTATGGTGTTTGTTTCTTATCAAATGTATTCATAAGGCTGTGACAAATTATCTTTGATTCATACTTAATATTTGAATTCTTTTTTCCATATACTTCATATTTTAATGCCGTATTTTCCTGCATTAGATTACCATTTTATTCACTGATTTCTTTTAGAAATCTCTTTATACTTAGAACCAAATAAGATTTATATTACTGCAAATGACATAAATGTTATCCTCTTCTAAGTGTTATTTTAATGGAATTGTGTAGTGTGTTTTTCTCCCTTACTGAAAGCACTTGTTAACAATGTGAATAAAATGTTGTCTAACTTGGAGAGTTCTTTATTTTTGTTTTGCCATTTTATCATTTTTATACTTTAAAAATTTTTTTTTCCATAAAAATATATTTTTTATTTGCAGCTGGATTTCGAAGAAGCTTTCGTCTTAGTAGAAAAGATAAAAAAACAAATAAAGCCATGTATGAATGCAAGAAGAGTGATCAGTACGACACAGCTGATATACCTACATATGAAGAAGTGACCCCATACAGGCGACAAAGCAATGAGAAATACAGACTTGTTGTTTTGGTTGGTAAGTGCTTTTGCATGTAATTCTAAAGAAATACCTGCAGTAATAACTATTTAACCTTAAAATCCACTACCTTTTAAACTTTTTAGATGAAAAAGAATCAGTTTCTCTTGAACACACTTTGTCCTCTAAAATGAAGTCTCATAACATTTAAGATGTATTCTAAGATTAGTGAAACTTCCACAGAAGAGGGTATTGCAGACATCCTTGTTATATATTAAACATGGGCAACTAAGTAATAGAATTGAGGAATTTTGAATATAATTGGAGTTTCTTTCAATTTGTAATTTTGAGGCAGAAGCTGTGGTATCAACTTCCTGTTGTATTTAGATCATCAGTGAAACAAACTTTTGTCTCATGGTTCTCTGGTACTGACAGAGTTAAAGCTAGAGTGTCAGTTAACATGCTGCTTGAAAGATGTCAATCAATAATATGGGCATTTTCACAAACCTTGGTCTGTTTGATCCCTATTAACATTCTACCATCCGTCCAGTCCTAACTTGGATTAGAATCACTACCTCAGCAGTACCCACATTTGTTTAAGTAACTTATGTGGTGACCCTATTTCAGCTCCCAGGACTGAAACCAGTAATTTGATAAAACAGTTTAGAGTAAAGCTGCATAGTGTGTCTTGTTGATTGTTCCTTATAAACTGAAGATAAGCATAAATGATAGTCACAGGATAACCCCTTCTCTCGAGGTGGAATCTTTTGAAAGGTTTCAACACTTCCTCAATCAGTCAGAGTGAGAAACTATGAGGTATCTCATGTATGATGATACTGGAAGGGATCGTTAGCATAACAGATATTAAAATAGGTTGTGTCATTTAGGAATATATACTCAAATACTTAAACATTTCTCTTATTAATGGTGTCTACTTCTTTTGATCCGTGTCTACTGAATCTTCCCTTCAACCGTACGTGGAAAAATATTCTCCCAAGTTTTGATTTTTAAAAAATAAACGTTGGCTCTAGAGCTTATCTAGGGAGCTCCAGTGGCATAGTTCATAGCAAGCTGTGCTTCGAACCCAAAGGAGATTCTGTACTCCAGGGGAGAAAGAAGGGCAGTACCCTTCCCTTGTGATTTGACAGCTTTGGAAACCTGAGGGAGAGTCAGTAAAGTCTCAACTGAGCAAGGACACTGAATTTAAATTGTGTCATTAAGAACTCCCAATAAAGATGATATCAAGCCAAGTGAGGGTTCTTTGGAGAATTGCACCAAACATTTCAAAAGAAAGCAATTTTATACACACTTTTCAATAAAAATAAAATAGAAAAAAAATTCCAAATGCATTTTATGAGGACAATACCTTGATCCTAAAACCAGCCAAAAACATGATTTGAGATCTAGACACTAACATTCCTCATAATCATAGATTTTAAAATCCTTTTAAAATTGACAAATCTAGCACTATAACAAAGGCTGGATGAACCTTTCTTGGTTATAAAAAATAATCAAGCAGTCAGTCACTAGAATTTTTAATAAGAAAAAAGGACCAGGCAGTGATTTACCTAATGTTAAAAGTCATGTGATAATACATGTGAAACTGGAACCTGTGGAAATTCACTAGAGAAGGAAAGCTCAAATATTTACTACTAAAGTCAGCTATAGACAAGTGGTACAATTACACTCTGTTAATTGTGGAAAACTTGTGGGACGCAGAAAAATGAAGAAGTCCTGTTAAGTTTGGGCTCTCACAGGTTTTATTGTTTATGCAAGAAGTCATCATTTTCCATTTTTGGTTTTTGGGGTTTTTTTCCCAATATCCAAAGCACTTTATTGCAGATCTGGGAGAGCAGAGAGAATTATCTCAAAAACTGTTCTTCATCTAAAGATGCTTATTGGTTTTTATACTTAAGTAAGGTATTAACATAATAATACTTAACATATTACTATGGCTAGCTCAAAGTTGCTTTCAAAAGAATAGTTTACATACAATCACTAATAAACTGACAGTTTTATGAGGTACAGTTTACATATGGCTGAGAAAAATGCAGTTTCCAAAAGAAAGGCTATTTCAGAAAAGATGCATTTCCTTTCCTGGGAAACAGCAAAGATAATCTGCATGACTATAGAGAGGTTACAACAGGGTCTGAGGACCAAACAAATGTTAGTTGATTCAACCAGCTTTGCAGGCTGAAAATCCTATACTAATGTTGAATAATCCTAAACTTATCAGTACCATCACCCTATCATCTTTCCCATTTTCTTTTGTCAATCTTATATTTATGAGACCTGTTTTAATCAAAAGAGGTTGCTCTGATCTAGGACAAACTGTTCTGAGTTGATTCTTGGGGAGTAGAAATTCTTTACACAAAGATTGTCTTGATTTGTGGTTCTCCATTTGGGAATAGGGGTATAGACTCTCTGGCTGCTTCATGCTGAACTGGTATTGAGAGGAAGGGGGATGGGGAACCCACTTTAATTCTTAACTGGAGGTCTTAAGTTGAAGCTGCATGTCATCTTGTTCAGTTAGAAGATATTTTCATGATGTTTTCTGCCTTCTAAACTGTAAGGTATCTGAAGCTTTTATGTTTGACAGCTCTTCAAAGAAATAGCATTAATAGTATATAAAGAAGAAATTGTTGTTGTGTGCCACCAAATGAAAATGACCCTCCAGTGGTTCTCAGAGGCAGTAAATAGCACTTTTGGGGGATTATCTTTCTCCCACAGAGCAGCTAGTGCATTTGAACTGTGTACCTTTGGGTTGCCAGTGCAACTCTTTACTGCTAGGACACTAGAGTTCCTTTAAACAAAGGAAATGAAAAAGAAAAAGAACCAGTTTCTGGTTTGTTCTAGGTACAGAGCTCCAAGAATGTCTCTATTAACATAGTATAGAATATAAGGGAATCATCTCTAGCTTTAAATCCAAATGATTGAATGAAAAATTGCACAATGAAGGCAAAAACTATTACAAAAACATGTGCCTTTATAATTACAAATCTTGTCATAAATACATTTTGCAGAAATGGTTTTATAGAGGCTTGTCTTTTGCTTCTCTTAAAAGTTTATTTTACAGAGCAGTTTTCAAACTAAGGAAGTCCATTTAATCAGTATTTTCTTTCATTTACTGTGTTTTGTGGGTAGTGCTTTAAAGAGTTTCTATTTAATTCTGTGATCTATTTTGAGGTGTTTTTTTTTTTAATACATCACTAAGTATGGATCTTTGTATATAAATGCTCAGTGTGTTATCTTTCTCCTATTTAATTGCCTATGTACCTAACTCTTTTTAAAATGTACTGGCCTTACGCATTCAAGTAGATTTCTGAACTCTGTCCTGCACCATATACCTTTGCGCTTATCATTTTGCCAGCAATAGTAGTATCTTTAATACTGTATAATAAGTCTTAATATCAAGTAGGATGAACTCTTCAACTTAGCTTTTATTTTATAAAAATTATTTTTCAATTTCTCTGCATTGTTTAAGGAACACTGCTGGTGTGATGGTGAAAGAATTTTGTTGCCAATCAGAAACTGGACAGTTCAGACCCACTGACTGTTCAGTGTTTAAAAAAAAAAGTGGCAACCTGGATTGTTTAGATTGAAAAGATCGATAGTGCTGGAAACCCTATGGACAGTTCTACTTTGTCTTACAGGGTTGCTCTGAATCAGGATTGATTCTGTGGCATTGGAGTACCTTACTTATTAAATTTTAAATTAAAATTTATAAATGAATTGATCAATTTCTCAAAAGAAGAAAAAAATCCAAGGGTTTTTTATTTCAGTAGTTCAATTGTAAAGTAATTGATACTTTAATTTCATTTCTTTCCATCTATAAGCATAGCATCCTTTTCTCATGAGTGATTTGTTATGTTCATAATACAAATCCCTTCCATTTGGGGTTGGATTTCAGTCTGAGCATTTATTCCTTCCTGGTGCTATTGTAAATGACACCTCTTTTTTACTATATTCTTTATATTGGTGTGCATACAAAATTCATATATATTGTGTTTCGTACAATCATTCCCATGTATTGTGTTTTATAAAATCAATCACCGTTGAACTGTGTTCACCATTTTGCCATCTTTCAGGTCCCTGTTGGATGTTTCCTATTTCCTTAACCTCTGTCCTCTAATCACCAAATTGTGTGACTCGATGATTTCTCCACACCCATCTTTATCCCTCTGCTCCCGTCCATTCCTCCCTTAGATCTTCATACACATTTTACTAGTTATCCTTTTGTTTTTACAATAATGGTATCTTTCCTTATGAAACTTGAATTAGTTCACATGGCATACTGTCCTCCAGTCTCTCCCATGTTATGTAGTATTTTTCTAAATCATTGCTCCTGTATGCTGCGTAGTATTCTATTGTGTGAATGTATCACAATTTCTCAGTCCATTCATTTTGTTGGACATCTGGGCTGTCTTGAGTTTGTGAATAATGCTGCGATGAACACTAGTGTACAAATGTTTGTTTCTCATTTCTAATTTCCCTGGAGTATATTCCTGGCAGTGTAATAGCTAGATCCTTAGATCATATGGAATGTCTTTGTTCAGCATTTTGAGGAAACACCAAACTGCCTTCCACAATGCTTGTAACCATTTTACAATCCCATCAACAGTATTTGAGAGTTCTAGTCTCTCTACAATCTCTCCAACATTTATTGCTTTCTGTCAAAGGTAAATTTTGCCATTGCTACTGGGGTGAGATGATATCTCATTGTGGTTTTGATTTGTATCTCTCTTATTGCCAGTGATTTTGAGCATTTCTTCATGTGTCTGTTAGCCATCTGAATGTCTTCCCTTGTGAGAATTCTTTCCATGTCTTTTTCACATTTTGTAATTGAGTTATCAGTCTTTTTTGTGGAGGCCCTGTAGTATTCGGTAAACTTCTGTTATGAGGCCCTTGTCTGAGATGGCATTGCCAAGTGTTTTTCCCAGCAAGTAGATTTTCTTTGCACCCAATTGGAAAAATATTTTTATGTACACAGGGATTTAATCTTTAGAAGGTTCTGTTCATCAGTATAATCCTCTCCTGGTTGTGCATTTTTGATTGTATTT